TTGCATTGAAATTGCGAAAAAAAAACAGATATTCTAGCGAAAAATTCCCACATAACGTGAATGTATAATAACAAATATAACAATAACCAGTGTTGCTTTAGAACAAAAAGTAGAAACAAAAGAATATGCCGAGCCACGCTTCATCACATATTACAACATAATCATTTTAAATGCTTAAATAGATAATATTGCGTGATAATATTTAACTAAACGTTGCCTATTACTTTGCACATACAATAGGCCCATTTTATTATGAACTATATATTTATATTGATAAAAACTGCAGAGAGATCAGTATACATCTGTATACATCGGATTTGACTCTACTTTTTAGAGGAACTTAACAAGAGCTTTTTAATTTATGTTTAGTCTAAACTTATGCCTGATAAATTATAGCGCTAAGTGTAAATCAATTATATAGTCTTAATGTATGTTATACTTATTCTATTTTTGATATTAAAAATGCTAAAAATATTTATTGCTTTAATATGTAGTAAATAGTTTGTCTCATATTTGTAGAGTTAGATTATTGAGTATAACACTTCAGTGTTATATCGTAGTTGAACTACTGCTTATATCACTATAGGCTAAAAATTATTTTTATACCAGTGAGATATCCCAAAGAATTAAATTTTGGACATACCTTAGCGACATGTGACTAGATTGAAAAAACTTAACATACAAAAACGGGTTTGAAACATTGTTCTTGTTACAGGCTCCTTTAAAGCCAGCATACTATACCTGTGCATGAGACCCCGCAATTCCATAATAAGATGTAGATATATAATATGTTTTTGATTTATTTATGCCAAAATAATATAAATATAAAGACATATCTCAAAACAGCGTGCAATAGTATATTATATGTATAACTAAACAGATAATCATCCGTGAAAATGTTGTTTTATGGTAGATGTTAAAATTCGTTAGGTCAAGGGTGGCAATTTAAAGATTGGAAGGTTGTACTTTTGAAAGAATTTTAGATACGACATGTAAAATATTATTATTCTTAAGCTAAAATGGATAAAAAAAGAAAAATATTAGCTTAACATTTACCCTCCTTCCTTTTTGGAAGTCGGAATGAGGACGTGTCATGGTTTTACTTACTACAATTAGTTAATACAAGATAAGATAAATAGAGATATTCTGGTTGACACACTAAAAAATTTTAGGCTGGGACAAAAAAAAGAAAGTAAATGGCTTTCTATATCTTTTTTCTCCTCTTGCACAACAATATAAACACTGTCTTACTTTGCTCTACATACATATATCAAGCCTGTAAAGCTTTCTTAATAACTTTAGAGAATACATAAAAAGCCATTTACAAAACTTGTATAATAAATTACTAAACAAAGCTTTCCTTATAATGCAAATGTCACAATAAACTCGTGATATACAAACAAACATACAACTCATACATGACGGGTCACGTTTCTTTGGTCTCAATTTTGACCCTAACTTGTATGTTACGTAAAAATCGACTTTAAAATTATATTTGTAGAGCATATTATCACTTGAATGTCATCACGACCTAATATAGAGCATGGCAGTACAAACTAAATTAAACTTTACTTTTTGCATATAAAGTTCATAATGTTATTTGTACAATCTTCACTAGATCTAATGTATCACTCATTGTTCGCAATTTACGCAATATTAGGCCAAACTACTATTAAATTAGAGTCGTTTATCCAATGTGTTGAAATTATTGCGTTACCTATAAAGTTACATTGGGAATAAGGAATTCACTAAAAGTGCCATAAGGCTGTTATAATCATAATTAGCTATTAAAAATTTATACATATTATATGATATATATCGTACCATGTTACGATACGGTGCGGCGGAAATTGATACAATACGGTTTGCTCTAAATCCATACTGATATTATAAATGTGAAAGTGCGTGAGAATGGAATGATGGATGTTTGCTACCCTTCGACGCCAAAACGGCAGAACGGATCTGGATGAAATTTGGCACAGATATAGATTATAGTCTGGAATAATAATCTGGAATAAGATAGTAGTAAAATATAAATTATATCCTAAGAGATAATGAAGTTTTTAATTATAAATAGTATAACTTTAATAATAATATAATAATTTTCTTGATAATTTATCATCAGATAATCTTATAATTTTTTATTAGCCAGAAATGAGATCATGTAGAGTTTTCACATTACTTTCGGTTTTTCATAAGTAAAGCATTTACGGTTAGAGGGTCACCTAACATCTTCTAGTATATTTTTTTTACTTTTAGGGTAATATTTATTTAGAATTTTAAGAAAATATTTTTATGGCCATCGATATAGTGATACTTTTAATTTTTTAACATAGAGGTAGTAAGGTATCACCTTACATACTCTACCATGATAAAGTAATTCCTAGAAAACGGACTCAGGTGATTCTATAAAGAGCAAGATTCAAGCTTTATTCTATAACAAATAATTCCAAACGACGAATATCAAAAAAATGTCAGTCGAAATATTTTTACTAACAAGATTAAAAAGTCCTACAAGCAAATACTGTGTAGTTTTCGCATGCGACACTTCTAAAATAATCTACATACAGTCAAGTTCTTATTACGCAGATATTCGATATAGACCTATAGGTCTACTTCTTTGGTAATTGTTGAAACTAGATTTCCGGAGACCTAGCCAATAGGTATGTATATCGACGCCCAGTCTAAAATTCTTGATGTGGTAACACTAGGTTTAGGTTATTTAATAATACTTGTTATGCTCCAGTTGTGAAATAAATTGAAGGGATAAAACGGTCGCTTTTGGATGCAAACACTTAAATTATTTTAAATAAGACTATTTTGTCGGGTTTTTAGTTCCCGGCATTTCGTTCTATACAGCAATCATTGTAACAGTTGCGTGCATCTAAAAAAAATCTTAGTTTAATTATTTTATAATAAACTTCCAAGTATATGTATATCACATGGATTATGTGATTATTATTTGTACTTAATACAAAGTATTACACCAGAAGTTAGGACACAGAAAGAAATAGAGACAACGATTTATCCTTTGGAAAAACAGATGGGAAAAATTGTTAAAATGAACATTTAATAACTTATGTCGAGTCTTATGTTTGAAGTTTCTATTTAAAAATATACATATATTCAGGTTACATCCTAAATTTACTTTCATCACAATATAATCATACATAGAAACTAAGAATTGTGTTCAATATATGTACTTCTATACAAAGTTACAAAACCTTTTGGATTTTTATAATAGTTTATTTTAAAATAAGCTGAACATTAATCATTGAAGTTAACTAATGTTCGTCGAGTGATAGAAATTCGATAACAATCATTATTAAAAAAAAGGATACTGAAATAGTATGTCTCCGACTATCTATACATATATATATATATATATATATATATATATTATATATATATATAAATACTTTTTCATTAATTAACACTAAAGCTCGACAATACTCTCTACTAAACAAAAAAAAAAGGAATTCGGTTAACAAACCGGAACTGTTTTGTCTTTGCCAATTTATATACATATGTATAGAAAAATATATATAGACACTGAAATTTTCATTATAATAAACCAAATATATTTAAGAAAACATAACATCGACATGGGCAAAGTGCTGTGCGAATGACTTACATTGCTAACTAAAAAGGATATTGTGCAATCAAATTTCCAGACTGGGCGAATATTTATATAAAATATTTGTCATATAGCAGAGATGAAAGAATATGAATATATTTTTATGTTTCTTAGAAAATCTCTCATGAATTGTTAAAGTATAAAAAACATAAGATTTATATTTTGCTAAATTATTAGTATTCATATTTTTTATCTATAAAAACAAAGAGCAACATCGCTAATAGCTTTAATTCATAAAAAAAACTCATAAAAACAATTTCGCAATTGCTGAATATATCGCGTGAAATACACAGAAAAAACGAACAAATAATGGAACTTAACACCTTATTTAACTATACCTAATTTTTTTTTTTAAAAAGAAAGAAATTACAGACTTTTGTCTTTTGCCTACAGTCACAGCAAAATAAATTTTTAGCTATATATATATATATATATATATATATATATATATATATATATATATATATAATTAACCTTTTAACCAACTATTGAAAAGTTTTTTTATATATAAAAACAAAGAGCACCATCGCTAATGCTTTACTTCATAAAAAAATCATAAAAATCATTTCGCAATTGCTAAGATATTGGGTGAAATACACAGAAAAATAAACAGTGGAATTGAACATCTTCTATTTGAAATGGGAAATGAATGCATACATATAGTTACCTTATTTTACAATACTTAAATTAAAAACTTAAAAAAGAAACAAATTACAGTCTTTAGCCTACAGTCACAGTCTAAATATAAGCAAAAAAAAAAACAATAGTATCACTCTAATCAAATTAACTTTTCCATTATATATTATTAATATCTAATTTAATATATACTTAATACGTATACAATTAACCTTTAAACCAACCATTGAAAAGTTTTTAGGTCACAGGATGTAATTACTGCTTGGCTTCAATAACACTAGTTTTGCACTTCCCATCGAAACCTAGATGCGAGGCGAATCACTAATAAATGCAGATTAATTCTCAAGAGCAAAAAATTATACTTTCATGAACCCAACATACCCATACTGATGGTCTGTTACGCAACATAACGGTTGTTTGATTACGGGTACGATGTAATCGGGATAGATTGCACCACACTAGGATGAATACATTTGGGCCGCGTACTTTTTGATGAGATCATTAAAAAGTTATTTTAACTGGCCAATGCCCGAGGCCCAATTCAAAATTCGAACATGCTTCTGTCAAAATTACCACGTTTCCTGCACCCTTCCCGCCCTTGAGAACGACCACTTACTTTTTTCAAGCGCGTTCCGTTTCACACCACGCGGCAAGCGGGTATAAAAACCTGCGGCAACGAAGTCAAAGGTATCAGTAGCCTTCGTGCAGTCTACAACAGAAATACACGATGAGAGTTCTGGTTAGTTGAGTCGACCATTACGGGTCGTTGTGTAACGTGCCAGTGTGGTGCTTTGTCTAGTGTTGTGCCAAATTGGATTGTCGGTAATGTGGATTTATTTTCGCAGATTGTTGCCGCCGCCGTCCTCGCCTGCGCCGCAGCCGCGCCTTCTGGCGCTCTGCTGGCTGGACCCTACGCCTCCGGGCTGCTGGGTCATCATGGCGCACACCTGGGTCTAGGCCACGCCTCTTTGGCTTTGGGGTCTCATTTGGCTCTAGGCCACGCCGCTCCTCTCGCAGTTGGCCATGCTGCCGCCATCCCTACCATCCCTCCAGGTGATCTCCAGGGTGCAGCCATCGACGCCCATGTCGAAGCTTCCGACCACGCCCGCGCCGCCGTCGATGCCGCCCGTGAGTACCACGACCAGGCTTCCGAGCTCCACGTTCAAGCAGCGAACGCTGCTGAAGACCACGCTTGGCAAGCGGTTGACGCTGCCCAGTCCCACAAAGCCGCAGTCGACGGTGCCGCCGCCGGTGTAGCCCCTGTGGTAGCCCGTCAGTTGGCTGGTCATGGTGCTGCTTACGCCGTAGGTCACGGTCTCGCCGGTCACGGCCTCGTCGGTCACGGTCTCGCCGGTCACGGTCTCGCTGGTCACGGTCTCGCTGGACACGGTCTCGCTGGACACGGTCTGGCTGGACACGGTCTCGCCGGTTCCTTGGTAGCCGCCCACGGTGTGGGTCTGGCTGGTAGCCATTCCGTCGCCACCTCATCCCTCTCCCAGACCCATCCAGCCCCCATCGTACACGCCCCCGTAGCGTACGCCGGCCATGGTGCTCTCGCTTACGGCGGTCTCGCTCATGGACACGGACTTGCGCACGGATGGTAAGCTGTGATACGTATCTAGCCAAAAAATCAAATAATACTCATGTTCGGAATGTAACTTAATTGTAAAAAAAAAATACAAAAAAAATTGTACAGTCAGAGGCGAGGATGTGTGAATAAACGAATTAACTTATACTTTTCTTTGTTTCATTTTTTTTATATTTCCATAGATAATCAAAACGCAATGACCGCTTGCACAATTAGTTATAATATAGACGAGTGATATTCACACGACATTCTAGTTCCCAGACTATTAAAATGTCACAACGCAAATACTTGGTAATGTCAACATGACACTTTGAACTTTGTATAAAATTAAAATCACTCATAATTGTAAATGGTTTCTGTGACGAATTGTTACACAAAAACACTATAAAATTCTCAAGTCTAAAGCCCAGCTCTACACTAAATAAGAGTTTTTAAACATTCATAATTAATATTATTATTAATAATGTTAAGCCTAAATACTATTTTATTTATATAAAAAAGTTTTCTAGTAAAAATTCTAAACAATTTTAATATCAAATTATAAAAATCTATTGTAGATTATATCATTTTACATATAAATTAAGAACAAAAAAGCGGAAATAGCATAGAGCCTTGAGACTTGTAGAGTTAATAATACTATAAGTTAATAATATATAAAAAATAGATCGCAAACTTTGATAGTTCATTATAGAAAATGTTAGTTTATTTTAACTACTTATGTACGTTTTTCTGTACATAACATGACAAAGAAATAACATTTTTCAAGTCATGGTTTGGTGTTAAAGTATTACTGTAGTTGATAATTTCAAGGTTATGCAAAGGATTCTCATAGAACTTTTAAAATTAAAATTAGAACAAAATGCTTTATGTAAATCTATAGCAAAACAACACTTTCTGACTACTCAAATTTGAAATTACTTATATAGAATAATGATAATATAAACTCATATCATGGTTATTTGCACGATAGTAAATTCTGAATGGCTAAGTTTATTTTGATTGAAACACAATTGAAAGATTATATAAAAAGTCCTTAAATTAAAAGAATATAAGGTTAAAAGAATAATATTGTAAGTCAAAATCGAGATAACTAAAAAATAGAAATTATTTCTTACATATTTTTAAAGTAAAACCAAATGCTACACTTGTGATTTGCAATACTGTTCCTGGAAGGTGTCGAAATATGTATGAAATATCAAACTAGCGACTTCATTCATTGTATCCCTAGATGTAAAACCTATGTAGCCACGTCCAGTTATTTCAGTGTAAAACGTACGCACACACGCGCAGATCCTAAATAAACTTTCGCATTTATAAACAACTAGGCGACTCACCCCGCCTCGCTCGGGTTCTACCTTAGGTACGTTTTAACGTTTAAAATGAAAAAGATATATACATATGCATTAATAAGATATTATGTACATATGTATTATATAAACATATTAGTATGAGGAGTTGTTGTGGGTTGTATTATAACGTGTTTTACTGTGAGATTGAGATAATGTAACACACACACGTATAAAAAGTATGTCATTCTCCAGCCCTTCATCTATACCCACACAAAAAATCACGCCAATCCGTCACTCTGTTTCGACGTGAAAGAAGGACAAACAAACACACTTTCATATTTATAATATTAAGTATGAATAATAAATAATTGTGTAATAATAACTATACAACCTTCATTTTAACTTTGACCACCGGAAGTGTTTTTCAACACTTCTACATATCCTGAAACGAACATTATTACGCAATACTTTTAATTTAAAAATAAGATTAATAAACTCATTTAAATGACTACGATAATAATTTATTATGCTTAATAATGTAATTATATAATTATGTGATTCGAATATACGGTTTAATTCTCTGCATAAAAATGAAAGTCTCGTTTAATTCGGTTCAATAATTTTCGAGATTAATCCGGACAAAAAAACAGGCAAAAAAGTTAAAAACTCCACATGTTGAATAATAATATACTTATTAATTTATATATCTACATTAAAAATAAATGTATATGATAGAGATTTATAAATATGCCATAGATATTACAATATTATTGTATTATTTTTGACCGATAAGATCTCAAAAAGTTGGAGGACGTTACGAACCGATTCTTATTATTATTTATTATTTTCATAAGAAGGTTGTACCTAAAGGTGGTCTCTTTTAAATTTCAAAAGCAAATTCCGACCAAAATATTGGAATAACTATTTTTAAAATTTATTTTAAAGTCGATATACTTTATTAGTTAAAAAGCTGTTTATTACTAGCCACTTTTAAAGACAAGAAACTTCTCAATTGTATTTTTCTATATAAACATACCAGCGACTCACTCTCGTTTCGTTCGTGTTCTTCCCTAGGTACGTTTTAACGGTTAGTATGGAACAGATAGACTATCTCAATAAACAAGCTATCTAATGCAAAAAGAATTTTTAAAATCAGATTAGTAGTTCCTAAGATTGAGCAAACAATCAAACGTCTGCCTCTTTATAATATTAGTAAAAACTAAAACTGTAATATGTCACTTTTAAAATTGACATTGACATTAACATCTTTCCTTCCAAATTGGTTAAAACATTAAAAAGTGCACATACACACGCAAAGACTATCAAATAGAGACAAGCCTATATTTACCATAATTACGTTAGTGCGACGATCAATCTTATTGCGTATATTCTTGTCTCGTAATATATAAAATTGTAGGGTATCTAATAAAGGGCTAGATGTCTATAGGTTCTTTATTTGCAAATGTGAAGTTATATTATCAATTTTTTCAATACAAAAGTTAACTAACTTTGTTAATAAAATAGAAAAAAAAATTGTTGCCATATAAAAACAGTATAAAGCAAAATAAATATTAAAGTTTAAGTTATTATATTTTATTAGCATTTTATAGCTAAAGGTAACAGCTGGTGCTGCTAAGCTCTAAAAAATCATCTTTAGAGTAGGATTTTTTCCTAGTATTTTAACGAGACTACTCAAGGAGGTCAAGTTTTTTAATAAAAAGAATCATTGTTCCAAACACCTCCACCAAAATTCGACCATATTATAGAAAATTTGAGGAAAACATATTTAATATGAATACAATTCATATCTGTAAAAAAAACTGTTCATATTTTTTTTTATTGATAACACTAAAGCTGTCAATAGCTACTAAACAAAAAAAGAGAATCAGTTGACAAGTAGAGAAGAAAAAGATATGGAATTGTGTAGATTATTAAATAGAATTCTGAACATGACAGACGAAAATGGCCTAATTAGGTATAAGTGATCCGTTTCACCCGTTTTGCTACGGAACCCGAAAAAAGAATCACGTAACATTTACACAAACCAACGTGCAATCGATGTAACTTGTACTTATTTTTAGAAGTCAATCGAAAATAAGTTAAAATCGAGTAATTTACTAGATAATCTACGAGTATGTATAGAGATAAATTAAATAGAAGTGTCTGTTTGTAATGTCAAAATAACAGTTTTTATTAAATACATATGAAATTATATACGGTACTTACAAGAAAAACACAGTTTTAATGAAAATATCTGTCTGTTCCGGCTAAAATCCGAAACGGCTGGACTGATTTTGATGGCACTTTCACTAGGAGATAGCTGATGTTATAAGAGTAAGTTAGGCTAATTTTGTTTAAAAAAGAGTTAAAAGGCAATTAGGGTTCCGCTCAAAAAAATTAAAAATATACCTAGGGACGCACCCGAGAGCAGAGAGGGTAAGTTGCTAGTAATTAATAAATGAAATATAAATAAATAAATATGATGGGACATTAACACACAGCACCATCTAGTTCCATGATAAGCTACGAGGCTTGTGTTATGGATACCAAATAGTTGAGACACTACATATATATTACTCACTTACATTACATACATATTATATATATACCAAGAAAAAAAACATACTCGCATAATGCTTTTCAAGCATAAAGTTTCTCTAAAAACGTTAAACATTTAACTTAATATAAAATTAACTTATTTCAACAACCTGTGTATTTGTAATCGATTAGAAATTGTAACGATTGAATTAATTCTCAGGTACATTTCATATTTCGAGATCTAAATTTTAAGACATTATCGTCACTATATACTTGATAAATTCCTTTAGCTTTATTAGCGGACTCGGTAGACAAACGTCCCCCTACAGACTTTGATTAATTCAAAAAACAAATTCTAGATCTTGATGACAGCGCAACCTTACCTACCTATGGCCAAGAAGCATCCAGGTGACCCCATAGGCATACAGTTTTTTAATCAAAATCGGTGAAGCCGTTAGGAGAAGTATTACGAACGAATTTATATATTATGAAGTACTAGCGACTCACCCTCGCTTCGCTCGAGTTCGTCCCTAGGTCGATACCCCATAAAATTTGATCCCCATTTTCAGGGACCTTTTTTCACCCCCTTTAGGGATACATCTGGGATAAAAATTATCTTATATCTTTCCCAGGATCTCCAATTATCTTCTTAGCAAATTTCATCTAAATCGGTCCAGTAGTTTTCTTAGCTTCAGAGTTTATTCGGTACAAGCAAACAAACAAAACTATAGATACAAAAAAATATAGATATCAGTTAAATAAATATAATACCCATAATTTTAATTAACATAATGAAATAACGAGACTGAAACTTTTAGATATAGAATTTATTTTATTTACTTTACAATGAACTAATGTATAAAAGTTTTTTTACAAAAAAATAATGGCTATAAAAACAAAAATTCAACTTACAATTACATTTACCAAACTCTATGTCTATGGATGAAACATGTATACTGCATACCTATTAAATTCGATCAACAATGGTTAAAATTATCATAAAAAGAAATATTAATAATTAAAAAAGAATATAATTAAATGAGGATATATAGACGTACATACACATATGTGTTGTGTTTTATATTATTTCATGTAGAGCAATAAAATTTCGCTTCAACACATTAATAAAGGCAAACACTTATGATGCGATTATTGCAATAATATTATAACAGGAGCTACATAAAAC